TCAGTTCATTTGTTACAATGAGAGTTAGTAAAGTGATGTCATTTTATTCGAGATCGTAAAGATTTTGGCATTTTGGAAGTTTAAAATTTTAAATTCTCAAGTTGTCTATCACAACAGCCACTTCAATTTGATAAGTGCATTTGCGCTATACAAATCTATTAGATTTTTGGTATTTTATTACAGCTTTATTATAAATTTATTTCACTATTTACTTGTTAGAAAAAACTGTACAACGCGATTTTTAAAACTTAATTATTTCATAAATAATTAATAATAATTATTTTATTGTTTTAAATAATTTAAAATTAATTATTTATTCACCCGAACAGCCCATCATGATCATTATTATCGTCGTCAATATTAATTAACGTAGAATGAGGCCGAGGGACCAAGCCTCAATATTTGTTTGTATCAATGGAGAAAAACTAACTTATTTTTCAAGCTTTAACATTTTTCTTCCTCACCTTTTGTATCTATTTACTCACTTATTTGTTTAATTTTGTTCTACTGCCTTGCATGTTGTTACAGTTTCTGCGTCTGTCAGATCCTGATTTTTAAAGAATAATAAAAAAAAAAAAAAAAAAAAACTTCTTTTTAAAAACTTCTTAAACCGTGTATAGACAGTTACATTTGTAAATAGTTACACGTATTATATTTTCATTATTGTTGTTATATAATAAATTAATCATTTAATAATTGTTATTCATTATTGTTATATAATAAATTAATCATTTAATAATTTTGATATTTGATTGAATGTGGAGGATTTTGAATGGGTCCAAATTATGGAATTCATCGCTTCATGTTTGCGTAATGAAAAAAGTTTCAAAGGGCAAAAATCTATCATGGTTTCACTATTATAACAACAACAAAAACAAAGGACACACACACATTCACGCACACACATGCACACATACACACACAAAAACTCTATAATTACATACAGTTTAAACATTTCTTTTTTTATAGTACATTACACACAATGCATCGCTGGCATTCACTTTCATATATCACACAGCGTTATAAAACGCTATTGTTAAATGAAGATCTAAGATATACATTCATTACTTGTAATAGACTATATAATAAATATACGTAAAATTTTTATACATATATAATCGTTTATACAATATGTCCAAAATTACATGTGCCCAGGGAGCATGAAACCATTCACACACAACAAGTTCATTAAGACGAACTGTCATTCAACTATTAAAACAATGACGAACAGACTTATAAAGCGTATAATTGGCTGTAATTATCAACCAATTGGGTTGAGAAGAGCATTTTAGAGCGGTCTTACTGATCTCATAAAATGCACATCAAATAACTAACCATCCCTAGTATGTTGTGAAGCAAGGCAAGACTTGAATAATTGCACATACACAAGAATTGAACTATACTGATTTGTTTTATCTTAAATAATTTTAGTATCTCGATGGTGCAATGTGGGCTGGGTCATATTAATTTGTTTTTTATATGTAATTAGTGTATGATTGTACAATGATGAGGGATTGTAATTTTTTGTAGAAACTTGCACGTATGTGATGTACATTGTACATTGTACAACACCAGTTATAAGCGGTGGGCCTAGCCTTTTCTTCAAAAGCATGCAGTTTTGTGTCATGTCCAGGTCGTATGACTATATATAAAT